TTGGTTTTAGAGCTACGGCAACCTTGCAGTGTTGCTTGATCGGGGCGCGCTGTTTGAGCGTTAGACGAGGCATTCCCTGCACGAAGCGTATTAGCGACCACACCACTGTAATTTATTGCTAAAAACTATATGCAAATGCTTGTATGAAGTTCAGCTATGTTATCTACGAAGCCTATAGATATATCTTGTGTGTGCAAATAGTAATATCCTTTCGAAGTCGAGGTACCTCGCTTATTTTCCCGTGCAGGGGTTTTTCCTGGTCTAAGGGATGGATGTTAGCAAAGTTGTTATCGAGAGTAAAAAATCTGCCCTTTTATCCAAAAGCTGTGATATTCTGCACAGGCTATGAAGGCTGCACCAAAAATACTTGCTACACCAGCACGCTTTGCGCATCCATGATTGCAGGTCGACATACTACATCCTACACTAACTATCAGACATGACTGCCATAGTTCAACCTGTGCTCGTATCATAGGCATACCTTGAAGGATTTTTTGCCGAACCATTTCTTCAATATTACAGTAATTCTAGCTGCTATAAGTTATGTATCAGTGATGATGGTTGAGAGACTTGCTCACCAGATCTAGTGTGTGCGGCATCGGGGTAGTTTGATCGGCTAGTGCCTAAATATTGCGGGATGGTGGCGTAGCTAGTAAACTAACCAGTTGCTTCCGGGCAACGCACTTGGTGGGGCCAACGAAGCATGCGCAAGTCGCCGTCAATGCCTCTAGACCCCAGCCATTGCGCACGATATGTAGCCCCAGCCACAGACATAGACACATCCGAGCACGCTATTGCAGCCGCCTCATGCCAAGAGTAGCTAAAGCTCAGTGTCTTGGAGAGATTATCCCAGTGATGATGTCCTCCGTGGGAGAAAACTGCTGGAATGCACATCCTTTACCATAAGTTAACCTTCAAAGCCTGCGGTCTCTATTTTTAGGCACTGGGCTTCCTATCCGCCGCCCCAAATGCCCTGCCAACATACATCTTAGTAAGTAAACAGGGGGTGGCCAGGGAGTGGGCACTATTCGAAAAAGCTGACAGCATCTGATACTGCGCAGCGCTAGCGCATCTGTATGTAGGTGCGCGAACTGAAGCCGATTTTGGTCAGCACCGTATGTAAGCACATTATGGTCGTGGTTCGACTGACAAGCTAGGGTGTTTTTAGCTGCTAAGATGCTTGACAGCTTTTGCTGCTGAACACGGTGAATATCATTAGTCGTGTAAGCATAGCAATGTATTCAGGTAGTCAAGCACATCAGTCATAGATAATCTGGAAATCATCATCGCACATAGTCATCTTCTTCCCTACATCAGCTGATTGTCGCGATACTTACTCAAGAGTATGTTGCTGACTTCTAAATGCTGATCGCATCTGTGACAATGATGGTACTGTATAGCGCTGGCTACACTAATTATTTAAATATATATTAGCTTGCACTTTACGACTGGAGCGAAGCATAATTTATATCCCAAAGATCAGAAAAATATCACAATGCACAGCCAGCGAAGTTCGGAATACCCCAAGCCCAGGGCGTCCTCTTCGGGATATACACTGGTGCAGTTTGATGATAACAATTTCTTCATACTCGACAAGGAAGAACTCCAGGTTTTAGGGATAAAACCAGTATCTGGCCTCCCGAGCTTCAGTCCTGAGAATCATTCGATCGCTATTGAAAACTCAAAGCTGACAAATATTAAAGATCGTCAGTGTCAAATTTATGGCAGCAGAAGATGCGAAGTATATATCTTCCGGTTGAATGAGGAGAAGGACAAGAGATGGCTTTCAAAAACGAATTTCAAGAACAAACTAGGCAAGAACCTAGAGAACAGAGACCGAACTATTGATTTTATGGAGGAAGCATCTACTGTGACATATGCAGAATACATGAAGGACAGAGAAGGAAGCTATGATAGCAATGGGGACACGGAAATGGCTGATTATAGTAACGTTGTAGAAAGTGTAGAGGTGCCGAGTTTTCCTAACACAGGACATACATTTCAGAGTTCAATACCAACTTCTGGTCAGATTACATCCGGGAAAGAGAATACATCTAGGAATAGTAGTCCGTCTACAGCGCGCTGTGATTCGCCAGGAGTAAGCGGAGAAACTCCAGAACCACGAGACGGCGCCACCGTCATTTACGGCATTAATTGTAAGTTTGGAGCGAATTGTTTCAAAAAACGCGGTCTAGTCTACAAAAACGATGTATACGATTTTGAAGACATATATGATTGCCCTTCGAATCTAATGATTCCTGGGCAAAATGGAGGAATGGCCCCTAAGGTGGACGATGAGTTCGTTTCGCAACTGAAAATATCTCAGAGGAAGAACTTGAAAATCGTAGGATGTGCGGCCAAATGGCATGGAAGACCGAATAACAAAAAGATTGTCATAGTTGTGCTCGAAATTCAAAAAACGGATCCCCTTTGGAAGGAACTCAAACAGAAACGACGTGAATCAGGATACAGATACGAAGGCCCTCTTGTATGCAAACTCTCTACATACCGAAAGGTCTTCAAAGAAGGAGATATACCAACCCTACAAGATTGCTTAAATATGACACAATTTGCAGTAGATGCAACCGAAACGGAACTCTCTCTAGAGCAGAAAAAGCAGAATGAGCAACCGACATGGGCCAAACTGTCTGATCAATTCGAGAAGATTCAGGACATAATGGAAAAATTGCTGGAAAACACCCCAAGAAATAGTCTCACAAAAAACAAGCCGCTTCTGCTCTCAAAGTTATAGTGTTACATTTTTAAAGTTTTTTTAGGCATGGTTTTGAATCATTGGTTCGGCTTTCTTGCGATATGTTATGTTTTTTGCTTAAAATAGAAGTATTTTAATTTCGCATAGTCATCTCATAATCCGTTAGGTGATCTTACGTCCGTCCCGCTACTAACTATCCTTCCATGACGGACATCCCTGTGTGCCGCACATACATTATGCATGTTTTAACTAGGTCTCTAATTGCCTTGTTCATACGCCATCCCGCTAGCTTGATAGTAATTTCAGGAATGCCTCCGCTTATCAACTGAATGTTAATGGCTTCTCTAATCTGGCATTTCTCGTTACGTGGCATGCTACTCCAGCTAAGTTTCGGGCGCTCATCGCGCGTATTCCATAGACGACGTTTTTAGGGATGTACTCATCGCTTCACCAACATCCCTCTTTGCATGTAATTAACCGACCTTGAAACGTTTCCAACTACTCAGTCTCTGAATGGCCTGCCACCTTGGGCGCTTCCGCTACTGTCGCTCGGTCGAGTAGTTGGCTCATCTTGCCGAGCCAACGCATACGCTGGTCCCCTATAATCTTTGATTCCTGTCACTTGCTATCGCATCACAGATACAGCACGGTGAAACGAGTCAATGCATAGTCCCTAAATATGGCTTCAGTAAAAACACAGACATGATAGGTGCAGAAAGAAATGCATGATGGCCGTGGTTGAAGAGCGAGTGTGTTAGGCAGTGCACGAGTACCGTAGCGCCGGCCAATTAGTCAGTGTCATATGCTTGCAACACGTTTACGGCTTGGTGGATTAGCTAAAGGCTAATAATACATGATCGCCCACTAATATTGAAAACTGACTAAATAGTACAAGTGCTACCCTTACCTCAGGATACGCTGCAGTAGTGCGTAAACGTAGGCTCTTGGATTAAATTGTGTGGAAGTTCGCGTAACAGCGTACTGGCTGCAGCAACGCGCCGGCTTGTTTTGCTCATAAGCCCAACTGATCAGTAGCACTTTCTGACTACCCTATTCGTGTAACTATTCAATTAAGAGCAGAAGAGCAGATTTTGAATTTCATTATTTGCTAAGGTTCAGATCATAGCTGCACATAACGCAGATTTGGCCCGCAACTCTCGCTACTTGTGTATGCTTACACCGTAGTTGTCTCTAACTTTTCTCCGCATTGTAGTGATTTTGTTGCACCTTGGGAAACGCGCAATGGTCATCCAAGAACTTTTTTCTAGTGGTTGAGAGGTATTCGATTCTTCTTGTAATTTCACTGAAGCTATAATGTGTTCTTCATGGCACGGTGCTGGTTCCGGCGAGGGCGCGCCAGACCGTCTAGACCGACTTGCGTCGCTAGATCGACTTGCGTCGCTAGACCGACTTGCGTCGCTAGA